ATTTTGAATTGGAAACTTCCGAAATTAAATCCGGACCAATTCGACTGCAATTTTAGTAAACTCATAATTGTTTTCAAGTGAGCTTGGCCCCATAATTTTTTTACTTTTTTAGGATTTTCCACATACAAATCCTTGTGTTTTTAAGTTCTTTGTTTGTATGCTGGGTATCCGTGCAAAGCTATAACGAAAAGTTCTTTTTCTTTATCGCCACGAATATTCTAGCTACCAACAAAGTTAAATAATAAAATTAATTTCTCAGTATTATTCATATGAATTTAGTCATTAAAATTTCAATTAATCACCATTAAGATGCTTGAAAAGACAATTTGAATTATTAATATAAAACTCGAGCTTGGATTTAAGAAGGATTTAAGCTCTCAAATAAGCCAAAAACTATGCGCCTAATGGACAAACTCTTGCCTTTTGGATAATCAACTTTGAATAAGTTAAACAATTCGTCTAATTAAATACTAAAAATGAATTAGTCTAAGTACAGCTCAATAAAACTCTGAATGTTTTTTATTTTTTATTTTTTTATTTTTTTATTTTTAAGATGGGAATGATTGTTCTTTCTATAAGTAAAAAATTAAGAATAATTAGATGTTGTATTAAGCTCACTTAAAGGATAAGGATGCGTGTGAGACAGCTTTATTATTATTTAATTTTTAAATATCAATCATAATTTCATTTGATTATTATTTTCTATTATTTTTTCACTGCATTTCAAAAATTTCTATAGTAGAAAGCTGCTTTTACAATCAAAATAATTAAATTATTTTTTCCACAATAACTTATAAAAAATTTCACCATCTTAAAAAGACTCTAAGGCTTTGCTTGGGACTATTTTTATATATAAAAAAAAATTTAATTTTTGAACTAGAAAGTTGCTTTAACAAGCATTAAGAAAGTCATCCCAAATTAAGCCTAAGGCTTCGTTTGGGACGGCTTTTTTATTGCTTCTTAAAGCAGCAACAAGTTGCCTTAAGAAGCAATAAAAAATCCGTCCCAAACGAAGTCTAAGAGTTCGCTTGGGACAATTTTTTGACTGCTTCTTAAAACAACTTTTTAGTACCTACAAAGCTGTTTTTAGAAGTAGGAAAAAAACTGTCCCAAACTAAACCTAAGTCTTATCCATTCATTTCACTGATTAACTTTCATCAAATATATTTTACATATCTTCGATAATAATATATTTAATTTCAAGCTTTTGAAAGGGTCTAAATAATTAATAATATAATTCTTTGTTCATGCAAATTTTAATAATTCAGCATTTAAATTATTAAAGAGCTAAAAAATAAGGATAAGTCCATTACTGCATGCAGTGGAGGCCTAAATATTGCGCATGCTGAAGCATTGAGAGGTGCTTTCCTCATCAGCATTTCTCAATACGGGCTTGATAATTATTTTGATTTACTAATATACCATATTTAGATATTGCAATTTACATTATAAAACAAAAAATGTTAATCTGCCACATATTTTTTAATTTTGCATAACACACCTAATAATAAAGAGTTTTTAGTGTATTAGTTGTTTTCATTACATGGATTTTGCAAAAGTAATTTATTTTAAAGTTTTAAAGAGGTTCATATAGGGGTGTCAATTTCGTTTCCACGGGTCGGGGTTCGGGGGTCTCAACCCGACACTGCACCCGGGTGCCGAAACGGGTTCGACCCGTAACCCGACCCGGGTAGGAGAAACGGGTCGAAAACTGAACTTAGCCCAACCCGCGGAGTGTCGGAGTGACCGACCGAAACCCAGTTTGGGTGGCACGGCGCCGGAAACAGCGGCGGCCGACGGCCGGCGGAGCGCATGAGCGCGAGCGGCGAGCGAGCGGCAGCGAGTCGGGCAGCGGTCACGCGGGGCGCGCGGCGGCGCTGTCGGGCGCGGCACGCGGGCGACGCGCGCGGCGGGCGCGCGGGCGGGCAGGGCAGAGGTGGGATTCAGAAATTTTTCGAATTTTAAACGGGTTGGCGGGTTGAACCCGGCAACCCGCCTGGTTCAACCCGAACCGAAGCCCGTTTTTTGAGAACGAGGTCGATTTCTGGAAACCCGAACCCGACCCTTTTGAAGTTCAGGTCGGGGTTCAACTCGGGATTTTCCGTGGTCGGGTCGGGTCAGGTTTTCGCTGTCGTGTCAAAATATTGACACCCCTGGTTCAATATGAATTAATATTACACAGGAATCTACGTTGATCACGAAGTCATTTGGCGATCGGAACACTCATTATTAACGTGCAGAGAGTTGGATTGCTTGCGTCCGAACATCTAATGAAAGACAGCCATTGTCTCCATACAGCACATTGTGTATCTCATTTGTTCACAATGTGTGTATTATACACACACTATGTATTAGGCTATGTTGACCTATTTTTCATTAGGATCTGGCGACGTCAGACTCTACACGTTAATGATTCTCTACATTGCTGGGGAGAATGCATATTAATGCTATTAGCCTATTATTAACTTTTTTTTTGGAGCGGAACACTCAAATTCGACCCACCAGAGTTTTTTTTTTTATTGGTAAGCTATCTTACTTTTTCTTCATTCAAATCTCATTCACAATTTTAGTTTGGCATTGCTTTTTTGTAAGTTATTTTCTACAAAGCTTTAAAATTTATTTTTCTCCTTTAGCAGCTTCACAAAATAATCAAAGAAAAACTGTCTCAAACGGAACCTGAAACTCTGAATCGACTTTTTTAACAAATCACTGTGTTCGAGCCCGCATGTTACTTATACAACTAACCATAAAAAAGACTCTAAGAATAAGTGAATACTCCCAATCAATATTACCATCAAATCTAAATTTAAATATCCAAAGAAAAAAATTAATTTTAAAAAATTATTTTTTATACTAGTATAAAACAATATCGCTTATAAATATTTTAAAAAAAATTATAAAAATTACTTAAAATATTTAATTAAAGAACTAGGAAACTCATATATCTTTATAAAAAAAAAACTCAATATATTTCTTCTAAAGAAAAAATAAATAATTTTTTTTTTATTTTTTTTAAAAATAAAAAAACAAAACTGAAGATTTAAAAAGAAAAATCAGATTCAATTAGGCACATCATTAGAGAACGTGCTCAAAAAAAAAAACGTTCTGATGTCATTTTTCAGTAGGAATGACCTGTTTAAGCACTTTCATCATTTTCAACCTTTAAGATTAGAAAAAAAATAAAAAATTAAACCCCTTTAATAAATAAGTGGTTAGTTGATTTGTATAGTGGACATTGGACAAACAACATGAATAATTATGTTGATGGCCACCTATAACTATAAGAACAGTTGCTCAGTGGCCTTTCCAAGGCATAATTGGTTAGCATAGATCAATAATTATTTAATTTATACTTTTTACTATATATAATATATTATATATAACATATATATATATATATATATATATATATTATATTTATATATATATATATATATATGGATAAGAAAAGCAAAAGGATGAAGAATCTAGCAGATTAAATAAAAATTTATCTATATTAGTTACTTTTGATATTTGTAGATAGTATTTCAATACAATTAAATTAAAGATTATTAAATACTATTATCCCTCTACTACGTGGCTATTTAACCACCTTACATTTTTTTTTATTATTGAAGTGGAGCTTAAATTTTCAATACTTTGTATTTGACAGCACTTACCTCTCTTTGGGACCCTCACACTGATCTCACTATAGTGGGAGATGACAATGCGTATGGACAGAACGGGGATACATGCTATGGACAATAAGATCAAAATGAAGAGAATGATGATGATGACATTGTATGAGCGGCAAGTAGAAAGTTTTGCCATTATACGATGATGAACAATGAGATCTACCCCTTCTTGAGTGGAAAATAACAAAACTTTGAGATCGGAGAAAGCAAGGATGTGTGGTATGATATGTGTTCGATAATACATTGACAACTAAAAGATATGAAAAAGATGTTGGGAGGGGTTTATATAAAGTGTTATTAACCTAAGAAAATAATAGATATTATTTAGTATTTTAAAAGTTTTTTGGCTAGACTAGTGGGAGCATGACTCCAATGCCTCAATTATAGATCAACCCATACTCACACATAGACAAATCTATTCTTTACTTTTTCAATTATTACTTTGGTATTGTAAACAATAAGGAGTTTGAGTTGGTGAGAGGTGAGTTCTTACCTACAATTAATTGAGGAAGTAAAAGTCTGAACCTAAGCTTTATTTTTTCTCCTTAAGGTTGTAGAGGGTTGTGTGTAAAAGCACTTAATCAAGGCATAATGTGTGAAACTCCTTAAGTAAAAAAAAAATAAATTCATAAATATTGAGACGCCTTTTGGTGTAATGGTTGGAATGTTATTAAGAAACTTCGTAGTTAAGCGTACTCATCTTGGGATAAGTGACCTCCTGGGAAGTCACACCATGATAAAACAGTGATGTTTTTCGGCCAAAGAGGATAATATCTCGATAGTAAAGAGTTTGGGCTATCACATA